ACATACGCATGACTTGTCAGAAGTGCCTCTGAAAAATTGAGGACAATGCCTAAAGCTGGAACAAGGGGTCGAGGTGAAGGATAGTTGGTGTAGGAGGATCTTATACAATGAATCGGTTAGATGGCGAGGCTGGCAGAAGGTCCCAATCAGACGAGGTATCGCATTTCAATGGTGATGATTACTCGTCAAAAAAATATGTAAAAGTTTGGTTTTCCTCGTGGATAGGTAAAAACCCGTTTCATGAAATGCATTCCTTTCTTTCACTGGCGACAAGGTGCTGCAAAGATCAAGTCGACTAATATCAAAGCGGCTGTGCAGCCACGCATGACCACATCGACACAACGTTTCCAACAGATGATGAAATCAATTGAAGTTAAAGATTAACGTACCAGAAATATTATTGCCTTCAGCCAGCCTCCTTTGCCAAGTGTCAATGAAGGTCTCCAGCAACCGGTTTCTACGGCACGGCACCTTGCACTGATCTAATTTGGCCCCACATTCACTGAAGATCTTCATTCTCTCATCCCTGCAAGGGAAGCAACTAGTGATAGTCAACTATTGTTAGTGAAAATTTACCAGACCCAGAATCAAAAGCGGATGGTTACTTCGGTTGATAAAAAAATAAATGGACCACTCGAGTGTGGGTATGGCACGGTTTAGGGAATACTAAAGGATGCATCGTGAGAAGATATGAGTGATTGATTCTTGTACGTAGTGGGTGATGGACTTAGGACAGATTGTCCACAAAATAACACGTTTGTCATCGTCCATTAGCGTGTAAATCTCTATTGCTTATAACAAAGATAATTGAAAACCGGAACGTCTAGAAATGTTGTGAGAATCGATAAGCGAGGCTGAAAGGAATAAGTCAGAAATGAAGGGACAGATAAAGCCAGGATGTACTTGCATACATTTAAATCGCCAAACTTGATGATCATGTGGTTATATAAGTATAAAATGGTTTAAAAGACCGAGAGTGAAACAGTCTTGCATGATTTTTGGGTGGATGAGTGGCTTTGAGATGAGCGATTGAATCCAAAGATGCTAAATGTAGACAAGCACGAGAATCGAATGGATTAGCTGCAATAGGTGGACCACATGTAAGCAAAGAGAGTTATAAGTGGTTGGAAGGTAGTAAAGAAGGCTGCTTGGAAATGCAATAAATAAATATGTTTTTGACGAGCGAGTTTTGAAATATAGGTGACGACTAATGCAGCAGAATTAGCTAAAATTATCTCCACCCACCTCATACGCTGAGCCGTGGTCCTAAATTCACCAAGGGCCTCCTCTAGATTGGGTCCGGGGGCGGTCTTGGCTGCAGCAGAGGCAGATGCAAACAGGTCCTCCAGAATCCGGTCCATATTAGTCCCCAAAGCTGACGTTTGTTTCTCCTCCTCCTCATCAAGATTTTGCCTTAAGTATTGATCAAGTAATGTTTTCAGGGCTAAAAAACCGAATAAAATAATCAAAAGCTTTCCTAATTGCCAAAAACCGATGTACTTATTGCCAATGTCATAAACATCGCCAATATTCACCAGTTTATTAATGTCTCTGATGTAAACACTAAACATAAAAGCAGGAAGACATAAAAAACGAGGCAAATAAAAGACTATGAAAATCAGAGATGACAGTCGCATTAATTACCACACC